GCCTACTTAAGATATTTTCTCTCTCTCCCCCTTCCCCCATTCCCTGACCAAAGTAAATATTGACAATTTTGAATGAACCTTGGAAAATACCAAGTAGTTAAACCATCAAAATGCTTTTCTTAAAAAAATAAAAGAGCGCCTGGGTGGTTCAGTCAGTTAAGCACCTGACTTGAGCTCAGGTCATGATCTCACAGTTCACGAGTTCAAACCCCATATCGGGCTCTGTACTGACAGCTCAGAGCCTGGAGCCTGCTGTAGATTCTGTGTCTCCCTGTCTCTCTGCCTCTCCCCTGCTCATGCTCACTCTCTCTCAAAAAATAAACATTAAAAAATTAATAAAAGTTATTCTTTGAGCTCTTCAGTAACCCCAAAATTAGTGACATATGTTGGATGCGGGTGTCTTCTTATGTGGATACCTTACTGTAACCTTTCTAGACTTATTTCTAGCACATATTTTTCTTGTTTTTGGGTATCTTAAGATTTCAAGAAGATGATTGAAACATCTGGTTGGATTCTGTATCCTTGCTGGCAAGTTTGTGCAAGGGAAACATGCTGGCATTTTGTCCCTCTTCTTCTTAGGGTCTTTTATGCCCATGCTGTTTTTTCCGTTTGAGGTATGGTGACCCAGCACCTACCTGCTCTCACTTGCCCTGGCACCATCTTTTTCATAATAGTTCTTTTCCTACCCTTCTTTTGTCAAAGGCAGAGACTTTACCACCTCTTTGTATTTACCAACCATGTCACTAGATTGAGTGTTGGCATGCAGGTAAATATACCAGCAGACAACCAGTTCCCCTATGGTAGGTAATGGAGATTTCCTCATTTACCACAGGGTCACTTGACAGTTCTGTAGACTAACATAATCATACTGATAATTTGCTTTAAAAAGGAGCTCTAGGTCATAAACAATCTGTAGAAAGTCTTTGGAAATTTTCTTCTCAGGTGAGAATTAAAAATAGTAAGTGATGAAATGGGGACTGAAAGGAAGGTATCCATAAGAAGATTGCCTTTTACTGCCATTTTCCCCCACCAGGTCTTCATCATTCCCAGCATGAAAGAAAGGAACGCATTTCTCTTTCAAGGCTTTATTCTAAGGATCTTCCCTCTTAATTAGTTTTGTGAATGAAGTGGTGATACTTTTTCAACCTTAATTTTAGAAATTCATGCAATACATGTTCATTATAAAATTTTTCACACTATAATTATGTGAATATGAAAGTCCCTTTCTCTGTTCACCCTTGTAGCTATCATTTTACAGAGGTGGTCACTGTTAAAATTTTGGTATTTGACATTCCATATGGTCTACTAGACCTAGGAAAACGGTGTCAGTCTAGATGGGAAGAAGGCTTTTCATCATGGTAGGAATTCATTCTCAGTTCCTAAAACTATATGTGCATTGGAATCAGTCCCTTTTACTCTATCGTGGATCATCTATGAAAAAGATGTCCTTTCTAAAAATTTTTATTATGGAAGTATAGTTGACAAGATACATATTTTAAACTTGGACACTGGGAGGAGGAAGAGAACATGTTGAATGCCTACTATGAATGTGCCAGGCACTGTAAACAATTTATATGTTATTTAATACTTATAGGCATACTGCAGAGAGTGTAGATGCTCTATAATGAAAGAAAAGGAAGCTTGAAGAGCTTGCCCAAAGTCTCACTGTTAGAAGAATCAGGAATCAAGTCTGAGTTAAAGCTTATGTCTTTTCCACCTTACTACATGGGCATTTTGCCTCTTTTTCCATCCTTTCTTCCCCTAATATTTATGCCCTGGCCTGGTATAAAATATACTTTTCATCAATATCCTTGGCAATAAACCTTATAATTTACATGAGATAAGTGAGATATATAAGGCAATGCCTATTAATCATTAGGGGAAAAAAGACTTAAAAGGACTTTAAGAAGGAAGGAATGTCCTAAACCAACTCAAAGGCCATTCAACTTAGTATACTGTCAGGAGGCATGCAAGTAAAGTTGAGGGAAAGTTGAGAAACACATTGTGGCAAATATTTTATGAGACTTAAAAGGTTTAAAGTTTGTGAAGTCTCTTCTAGACCCCACTGTTCATCATTCTTTTTAATTCATTCAAAAAATTTTTGTTTGAATTTTCAGTTCATATAAAGATCTCTCAGTCCCTAGGAAAGTGGCATCTTCCAATTTCTAAATTCCATTGCCAATACTCGAGTGGTTGAAACTGCTCTCTACAGTTATCTGACCTGTATTACCTACCTATTCAGGTAATCTTTGTTCCCTGGGCTTAGCTCTCAGAAATCACCATTTATCCTCGGGGGTTGTGGTACTCACTACCTCACTTGGCTTTCTATGTGGATCTTCCAGGCTCTTCCTTATCTTCCTTTCATTAAAAATACATTCTGTTCTTGGGGCACCTAGCTGGCTCAGTCTGAGGAGTATGCAACTCGATCTCAGGGTTGGGAGTTTAAGCCCCACACTGGGTTTAGAGACTACTTAAAATCTCTAAAAGATGCGCTGGTACCACCTTCCTCAAGCATACCTGGGCCAATGAACCAGTGCTGGTTGCATCCATCGAGGCCTCACTACAATTCTGCCCACCCTTCGCCCCTTCATATGCAACCATGACTGATCAGGCCACATCCTACACCTATCAAGTGACCCTCTGAGATGATGGGGACATGCCCGACATGCCCAGCCACCCCCAGGACCCCAGAGTCCAAGCTCGGAGTGGCTGAAGAAATTGTGAGCACCTCTGGTGACAGAGGGGAGGCCCTCTTCACTCTTGCCAATAGAATGTGAAACACAACCACAGGGGGGTAAAAGCATTCTGTTCTTGATCCTTGCTACAATATCAGCACTGATATACATGGATTTCCTCTCTCAGCTGCTTGAGGAATGCATGGGATAGGACATTATCTCCTTGACTCATATAAACTCTTGAGCTAGGGTATCTAAACCTCTAAAAGACTTCTGGGTTTTTTGTTTTGTTTTGTTTTTTGTTTTTTTAAATCTTTTATACACCTACCAAGTTCCAAGCCTGAAAAATCTTGTGCAGGTGTGAATCAGATCACCAGGGGGAGCTTTGGTTAAACATGAATACTTGAACCTTGCCTCAGAGTTAATGAAGATCTCTGATAATAGGATTTCTCAGTGATTCTAATCCCTGTGGCTAATTAAATTAAAATGAAATAAAATTTAAAATTCAGTTTCTCAGTTGTACTAGTCACATTTCAAATACTTGATAGTCAAATATAGGTGGTAGCAATTATATTAGCACCGATATAGAATTTTTTTTAAAATTTTTTTAAATGCTTTATTTCTAGGAGAGAGAGAGAGACAGCGTGAGCAGGGGAGGGTCAGAGAGAGAGGGAGTCACAGACTGAAACAGGCTCCATGCTCTGAGCTGGCAGTCAGCACAGAGCCCGACACGGGGCTCAAACCCACGAACTGCGAGATCATGGCCTAAGCGAAAGTCGGACGCTTAACCGACTAAGCCACCCAGGCGACCCTAGAATATTTTCATCATCACAAAAAGTTCTCTTGCAGAGAACTGATCTGGAATATATAGATGGCAGTTGAAGCTATGAGGTAGAAGTGATCTGGAGAGTGTAAACCTTGAAAAAGAAGAGATCTAAGGACAGAATTGTTGGAATCCTCTCTTTAAGAGGCAGGTAAAGGGGTGCCAGGGTAGTTCAGTCAGTTAAGCATCTGATTCTTGGTTTTGGTTCCTGTTATGATTTTGCAGCTTGTGGATTCTAGCAGCTCAGAGCCTACTTGGGATTCTCTCTCTCTCCTTCACTCTTTGCCCCTTCCCTGTTCTTTCTCTCTCTCTCTCTCTCTCTCTCAATAAATAAATAAATAAACTCTAAAAAAAACAAAAGAGGCAGGTTAAGACTCAACAAAGGAGATTAAGAGGGGATGGCCAGAGAAGTAGGAGAGATTTAGAGAGTAGTATCCTAAAGGTCAGGAGAAGTCAGTTTTGAAAAACAGAATTCTGGTGAACAGTGTGCAATTTTAAACCTTAAGGAAAATGGTTAATAATGCAGAGGAGTGTTACTCAAAGAATGTTATCTCAGGTCGCCACAATGGGGCACTCACCTTTGTAAATTCCTCATTGACCAAAGTCTCCCTCCCAGAAATTCAATCTTGCCCTCATGTGAGTGTCACTCATGTGAGTGGCACAGAATCTCTATCCAAGATCATATACACTGATTTTATATATATATATGTGTGTCTCAGATTTTAACTCAAGCTCGCAAATGCATTGATATAGGATATATACCAGAATGCCAATTTATTATAAAAATGCAACTGTTAGACACTTCAGTTAGCTTAACTAGTGCATTTTCCTTTCTCCCTATTGTTTGCTGTGAAGGGAAGGCAAATTTTCAGTAGGTTGCTTTGTGAGTATGGAATGAGAACAAATATGTTGTTGATCTTAAGTTCTCAGCTGGACCAGCTTAAAGCACTCTCAAGGGATACCTTTGTCAAAGAGTTAGCATCTTGAATTATCCTATTGTAAGTACTTGCTTGCCTGACAAACCTCTTCCTTCTTTTCTACAAAAGGAGTGCAGTGTAACACTTGGCTTTTCAAGTTGCAATCCCCATGCAATTCTTCCTGTCTGAAATTCTTCCTAGGAAACTCTGGTTGAGTTTTTTGCTGGTTTCTAAATTCCCGCAAGACTGCATTCATTATCTGCTGCTTTTTACTAGTTTCACTCTTAGAGGGCAGTCCTATTCCGAAGTTTCTGAGAAACTCTTCATTGGAATCAATCACCCTGCACAGTATTGCCAGTAGCTATTTCAGATGTTGATTATTATGAGGATAAAATGTAAAGCCAACTGATTTGGTAGTTAAGAAAGTCATTGGTGGCAGGGGTTTCAGTAAAGTTGTGGGAGTGGACCTCCAGGAGTGGACAAATGAATGGAAATTGAATTATTTCGTCAGATATTTATTGAACATCTAGGGAATGCTGGGCTCTGGGACTGAAACATAAGCAAATATGGACGAGGCCCTTGCCCTGATGTGGCTTATTTGAGTAGGAAGGTGTCTTTAATGATACGTCTAATGGTACAGTGTGTGTTGTGAAGGGCCATACAGAGATGGGAAGGCATTTAAGAAGTGAATCTAACCTAGGGTAGTGGCTCAGGAAAAGCCTGAGGTGACGGTGCAGAATTTGGGATGTGAAAGATGAATCTGGTTAGCAAAGGGGAGCAGGAAGAGGCTTCTGGAGGAAGTAGCACAGAGCTTTGAAGCGCCCCCCCCCCCCCAAATTATGCTTGATTACACTGCGGGGAGCGAGTAGGAGAACGGCACGAGGCGAGTCCAGGAAAGTAGAAATAGTGAAGTTCTCAGAACCGGCAGGAAAGGGCGGGGACAGGCGGCTCCACTTATAAACTACAATTCCCAGGAAGCATCTGGCAGACGGATGTGAGGTGAGGCGCGAGCCGCGACCTTTGAAGGAAGAAAGGAAGTGCTTCGGCGTCGCAGAGCCGGAGAAGCGGGGTAAGGTAGGCAGGGGCGCGGTGCGGGCCCGGCTGCGGGGCCGCGGCGAGCTGCAGTTGCCGGCCGCCGAGCGCGGCGAGGCTCCGTGTCGTCATAAGGCGGCGGCCATTTTCGCGGGCGGAGGCGGCCCGAGCGGGCGCTCGGAGAGCGGGGGCGGGCGGGCCTGAGGCGGTGCGGCGGCCGGGCGGCCCCGGCCACCCGGTAATCTTGTCCTCTCCCGGCGTCTCGTTTGCAGAGGGAGCACTATGTCCGCGGAAGTCCCCGAGGCAGCCTCCGCGGAGGAGCAGAAGGTGAGTGTGCACGGGAAGTGGTCCCGGGGGCTCGGAAGGCCCAGAGGCGAGCTTGCCGCGGGCGGAGCCTGCCGGGCGGCCTGCTCCCGCCGCGTGCGGAGGGGCGCGCCCGGAGTCGGCCCGCTGCGCTTGCTGCGGAGACCTGGAGCTGCCTGGACGCCTCGGCCGTGAGGGCCGAGCTCTCCCAGATCTGCAGCCCGCCTGACTGGTGATTGGCGCCCGCGTGGTGGGAGTTTGCACATTGTCCGCGTCTTGCCTGAGACTCGCCTTTTCTAGCGCCTCGGTGTGTCGCCTTTTTCCTTACACTCCACTGTACATGCGAGCTCAGGACTCCGTTTTTGCGGTGGAACGTGAGTTTTTCCATGTGCCTCACTTGGCGTAGGAAGTTTAATTTTTCTCTTGAAGAACTAACTCTTCAGCTACTAGTATTGTCGGCATGCTTTTAACTCCAGAGGCTGTATCTCGTGTTAGGGCGGTGAGTTAGACCTGGGCTGGCCTTTCCGATCCTGTCCTTGTTGGCCGCATAACCTTGGTCAGTCGCTAAACTCTTTAGTTTCCAATTTCCTCATCTCTCAAATGATAATACTTGCTTTGTCTGCTTGTTGTGAGGCTTAAATGACGGGGGTAACTTACAATATTTATTTAGCACACTGTGTGCTCAGAAATATGAGCCACTGAGAACCGCATATGGTACTTGACTGAAAATCAAATGCTTGGAATTGAAAATTTTTTACCAACTTAGTTGACCTGGATTTTTGTAGCAACAGGAATATTTTGTACACTCACTTGTAATCTTCAGATGTAGGAAAATATTTCACAAATCAGTATGATTCGAATTAAGAATATTAAGACTTGGTTTTGTCTGTGCTAGTTCTTACCCCTTCCACCATTATTATTTCTGCAGCTCTACCCACCTAGGTACTTGTGGCTGGCTTACAAAGGCCATATCTTGTTTCTTAAATTGTTTATGGAGAGTTACCAGCACCTTTCCTTGAAAAATCAGACAGCATTATAAATAGGATTTGGTCTAGTACTTGGACTTTGTAAAGGCATCTGCTTCATGTTCTGCCCATGCTCCTAAACAGGTTGGAAATTTGATTAGTGTATTAGTGTTTTAAACCCACTCCATACGTTCTTACCATGATAACTTTTCTTCAGTTGAATGGTTCTCTTACATTGCCTGTAAATATTTAAAAAAAGAAGAAAGCAATTGCATAGATAATAGGCCAGTTTACTGTATTATTCAGGATTATTCCAAGGAAAATTATGTTCGGTATTTTTCACACTTTACAAAAACATGGGCTTATAGGACAAAAAAATATAGTTTAAAGATTACAATCCTAACTATAACATGAATTATCAGTTATTTATTGAAAAACCTTTATTGCGGTGTTCATAATTGCCTGGGATTTAAGAACCCCCAAAAAACAACAAATCCATGTCTGTGCTATCTTGTCCTAAATACTGAAATCAACCTCAGTTTTGACTTCTGATGTACAGTGGTGTGCTTTGTAGGTTTTTTTTTTATGAGATTTTTAGTGTGTTGCCAAAGTGTAAAGTGTTGATTTCTACAGGCAGATGGTTTTACTTGGAACAACCTAATATTATGCTTAACAATATTAAACCTGTTTGAACGTTTTCATAAAGGTCTATATTAAAATTTTAACTCCAGTCCTTTTGTTTTAGGTCTGTTGTCATTAATACCAAAGTGTGTTGGTAATATAATGTCCCTTCTTGAATTAGGGATTGGCTGTAGATGTTAAGTGTCCCGTAGCATAGATACCATCCCTAAACATGAGGAGAATGTGCAGAGTCACTTCTGTGTTCCTATGGGCCAAATCACCTGTTTCTTCTATTTTGGAAGAATAGTTAGATGACCTAAAAAATAGGATTATTCTCCGTGTACCCAGTTGACCTTTCAATTAAAGCCAAAGTATTCAGCTAAAATAGCTTTAGTTTTATGGTACGTTGGCCTCTGAAAAGTTTAGTGAGGTAAATAGATGAGACTGCCTGGAGTAAGAGGTATTTCTCTGAGTAGTTCATGCCCCTTGTTAAGAGAAGAAAGCTGTATGGACCACTTTTTTATTGGGATATTAAATATGTATAAACATGAAAATAAGTATAAACACCTATCTCTTTAGCAATGCTTTAAAATTAAAATGGGTCGGACTCCTCCGTGGCTCAGTCAGTTGAGCATCCCACTTCAGCTCAGGTCACAGTCTCACCAGTTCCTGAGTTCAAGCCTCATGTCTGGCTTTGTGCTGATAGCGCAGAGCCAGCTTTGGATTCTCTGTCTTCTCTCCCTCCCCCTCCCCCTCCCCCCCCCCCCCCCCCCTCCCCTCCCCTCCCTTCCCTCCCCCACTGGTGTGCTCTCGTCCTTTCGCTCTCTCGTGCTTTCACGCGCTCTCTCTCTCTCTCTCTGTCCCTCTCTCGCTCTCAAAAAATAAACATTGAGGCGCCTGGGTGCACATTCAGTTAAGTAACTGACACTTGGTTTTGGGACTCAGGTCATGATCTCACTGTTCTGGGTTCGAGCCCTGTGTTGGGCTCCGCACTGGAAGTGCAGAGCCTACTTGGGATTCTCTCTCTGCCCCTCCCCTGCTTGCTCACATTCTGTTGCAAAAATAAACATTTAAAAAAATAAGGCACCTGGTTGGCTCAGTTGGTGGAGCATGTGATTTTTGATCTTGGGGGTCGTGATTTGAGCCCAGGTTGGACAGAGATTACTTAAAATTTATTTTAGATTAAGACAGATACAGACAAAATTAGTGTAAATTATTCATTGTGGCATAGTATTTTGCTTAAAGTAAATTTCCAACATATTGAGAATGGTAGCAATTGTTAAATGCTAGGAACATTTTAAGTATGGCATAAGTATGGCAAGCCTGCTCCCCACGGTCATGTGATGATTCAGTTGTCCTTTTTTTCTTTTTTTTTTTTTAATGTTTATTTTTGAGAGGGAGAGACAGCACGAGTGGGGGAGGGGCAAAGAGAGACGGAAAACAACGCAGAATCCAAAGCAGGCTCCAGGCTCTAGCCTCTGAGCTGTCACCACAGAGCCCTGCACACAGGGCAGAAACCCATGAGCCATGAGATCATGACCTGAGTTGAAATCAGGCACTTAACTCACTGAGCCACCCAGGCACCCCTCTGTTGTGTTTTTTTAGGGTAATCTGTGATCATTTAACTCTAAGAACAAAAATACATCATTTACATTTTAAATTCAACTCTTTTCTTTTCTCACTCTTCTGGACAATTGGAGTAGTACTGCTCAGTCTCTGTCATGAATGAAAGCTGAAATGGAAATATGTAGCGAGTGCTTAGACATGAGATAGCAATTCATATGTGCTGGTGTATACTTATATTTTTTCTTATAGATTATCAATGAAGTGAAGGCATTAAAAATTTTTTTTAGCAGAGACCTCGTGGATCTATCACCTGTGAATTCCATTTTGAATAACACTCAGCTCTGTCAGACATGTGTGCATTCTTGTCCTGGCGTGAGAAGATGCATAGTGGAGACTTAAAACACATAATTCTATTTTCATTGTGAACATCTTAAAGTCATGGACTCTCCTTTATTTATCTTTTCTCCCATAGCTCCTATCTTACCTGATTCATTCCATTCATCTCCTTGTTCAGAAAATGTTGGTTGAATGAATTTTTCTCAAATTTTCAGTTGAAACCATTGCCAAAGTACTATCTTAACACAAATCACAAAGCTTATACTGCACCTTCAAAGGGGGAAGGATAGACTATAGTAATATAAAAACCTTTGTTTAGGCCTACTTAAGAAATCTGAGAGAGTGTAAAGGAATGTATATATGCATATATATTCATATGTATTGCTTTTAAGTTTTTTAAAAAGATCTCAAGAGCAGGTTTTCTAGAGATTTTACTACAATATTGATCAAATTAAGTTAGTAAGATGTCTTGGAAGAAGCTAACACAAGTGGGGCTCCCAACGGAAACATTTTTGTCAGTTTAAAAGATAATGCTTGGTGCTTTTGAGAGTAGTGGAAAAGGAAGAGAACTATTAGGTCCATATGTCATCACTAAAGAGTGGGTACAAACTGCTTTCCCATTTTCCCAGCTTTTACAAAATTGCAGTTAGTGTTGGCATTTTCTGTTGGTAACTAAAAGCTTTAAGAGGATTTTTGATGTTGTTTTATTTATTTAGAGAGAGAGAGTGTGCGAGCAGGGGAGGGGCAGAGAGGGAGAGAGAATCCCAAGCAGCCTCCATACTGTCAATGCGGAGCCCAATGAAGGGCTCAAGCGCATGAACCCCGGAACCATGAGATCATATGAGACCTGGGCAGAAGTCAAGAGTATGGTGCCTAACCAACTGAGCCACTCAGGTGCCCCTCAAGAGGGTTTTTAATTTTAATTTTTAAGCCATAATTTGCTGGTTTGGTTTGTGTGCAACCCTTGAATCCTAACAATCTAGAAGTAAACCTCAGAAAAGTTTTAAAATCTTTCTAGTTGCTATTTATCAAATGTGCTGCATGCACAGCATTGTTTTAGGCTTGCCTCTGTGTCTGCTACCATAACATATTTCAAAGATAAGCTAATAGTGAAACTGTCAGGTGTTTGGAAAGTTTCTTAGCTTTATTGAAACAACGGGAGTACATTGTGTTCATTCATTAGGCTTTTTATTGAACACCTGTTAAATGCCAGGCACTGCGCAAGCAGCAAGGACTTAATTGGAACACAGTGTTTTCCCCTTAGAGATCGATAACAGTTCTGATACCTTACTGGCAATATCCCAAAGGATTTGTTGGCTTTCGTTAATCTTTTCTACTTATTAATCAATCAGTGCATCAGTGAACATATTGCTGAGCAGATAGAGAATTTGCTTAGAGTGATCAGATTTTTATTGCTGATATTGCTATGTAGCATCTCTGTTGAAAGTGGAAAAGTGGTATCAGTCATTCATACTTATTATCAGTCCATGACATAATAATCCTTAATTGTTTGAATGTTCTTTATATATATGTTTTTATTCCCTATACCCCACCTACTCAACAAAAAAGGACATCTAATATGTTTTAGTAGACTAATTCACAAAAATACAAGTGCCTAAACAATAAATGTTAGGCTATGTGCTAAGTATAGAGTATATAATGAAGATAAATGTACTTAAGAAGATAACCTTCATTTAAAATATTGTTTTTAAGTATTTTTTTGTATATTATATGCATATATCTTTGTTATGACAATCCTGGGTTTCAGCTTCCCCAGTTTGTAGCCTATGGTGAAATGTTCTGCAATTGTAATGATCCTTTTTCTACTCTCCTCCTTACCAAAGGTATTGTCAGCATAGAAACCACTTAGCTGAGTGAATCTACTCACATTGGAGCATCTGCAGTAACATTGCTTTGTGACACAAAAGTGTCTTGGAGAATAAAATTTTGAAAACAGAGTAGAGGTTTTTTTTTTTTAATTTATTTATTCTGCGAGAGAGAGGGAGAGAGAGAATCCCAAGCACGCAGAACCTGATGCAGGGCTTGAACCCACAAACCCATGAAATTATGACCTGAGCTGAAATCAAAAGCCGACGCTTAACTGATATAGCCACTCAGGGACCCCCAGATTTGAATTTTGGTTAAAATACTTCCTGGTTAAGATGGTCATTTCTCTATTTTGTTGATCCCCTCTATTGTATTGGCTTTTTATTTCGTTAACGTCTGCTTTTTATTTTCTCATATTCTCTTTTGGTTCTGTTCTTTAACTACTAAATTTGGATATATAACTCATTGACTTTTAGTTTTCTTTTTTAATATGCGCCCTTAAGGGACATTTGTTGAATCCTACAAGTTTGGTAAGTATAGAATTTTTATCATTGAGTTCCATGTTATTTTTTATTCCCATTATTCTTCTTTAACCATGAATTATTTTAGTAATTTGTGTTTTTAAGCTTATATACATTGCAGTTTTATTTATTGAGGGCGGGGAGACACAGAATCTGAACAGGCTCCAGGCTGCAAGCTGTCAGCACAGAGCCCAACATGGGGCTCGAGCTTGAATTCATAAACTATGAGATCATGACCTGAGCCACAGCTGGATGTTTAACTGACTGAGCCACCCAGGCGCCCCTATGCACATTAGAGTTTTAATGAGTTAAGCTATTTTAGTTTCCTAATAGGGATATATGAATTTTTTTATTGTTGGCCTTTGATCTTGTGAATTACAGTCATAGATGGTGGTCTGGATGAAATTGTTAAGACTTATTTCATAGCCTATTATTTGGTCAGTTTTTCCATTGTGCTTGAGAAGAATATATATTTCCTAACTGGGTACAGAAATAAAATCTGATATCTTGACTACTTTGTCTTTTTCACTTATCAATTTTTGAGGAAAGCGTGTTGAAATCTGTGCTGATAGACTTGTCATTTGTTAGTGTAATTCAGTCAATTTTTTCTTTATATCTTTGGAGGCTTTTTATTAGAGGCATGAATATTTAGATTCTCTGCATCCCTAATAATAATTTTTGGCACCCCACTTTTTTTTCCTTTTTTTTTTTCTTGATCTCCCAGGTTTTTGGGTTTTTTCCTTCATGATTAATTTTTCTTCCATTTTATCTCTACTGTTAGTATGGACATTACATACTTCATTTCTGTTATGTAATTGATTCCCCTTGAAATTTTATCATACTTTCTTAATTAAACAAAATGTTACATTAATATCACATATCCTTTCCAAATGATGTGGACCATAGAACACTTAAACTGTGTTACATAGTACTTTTGTATTTATTTATTTGTTTGTTTCTAACGTAAACTCTCCTGTTGAAGGGCTCAAACTCAAAACCCTAAGATCAAGAGTTGCATGCTGTACCAACTGAGCCAGCCAGCCTCCCCTTTTGTTTGTTTTCCTTTTGTTTTATTTAACCTCACATATTAAGACATTAAAACTTGAAAAGCGAGTGTGTTGATTATATCTCAGCAAAGCTGGGGGCAAAATTATTAAAGTGACTTGTCAGTATACATTAATGTATTCCAATTTCTTTGCTATTTCTTACCTTTGAAAAAAAATTTTTTTTGATGTTTATTTACTTTTGAGAGAGAGACAGAGACAATGTGAATGGATGAGGGACAGAGAGAGGGAGACAAAATCCAAAGCAGGCTCCAAGCTCTGAGCTGTCAGCACAGATCCCAGCATTGGGCTCAAGCATGATCCATGAAATCATGACCTGAGCCAAAGTCGGACACTTAACTGACAGAACCATCCAGTCACCCCTCTTTGCTATTTGTTTCTATATCTCAGACCTTTTTCAAGATTTATTTTCATTCTAGCTGAAATAAATTTTTTAGGAGTTACTTTGAAAGATGTCCCAAAACATGGAATCACACCAAATTCTCTGTGACCTTTTCCATTTTTTAACATGGCTGTAGGGATAAATTGCTTATGTTACCTGATTTTATTGACTAGCTTCCTGCCTGGACAGTATAAACCACTTTGGGTATTTCACACAGAAAGAGATGCGATTTAGGGAATTAGCTTACAAGTTATTAGAAGGGGATGCAGGGATAAAGGGGGAAGACAATGTTTCTACAGGTGAGAGATTATAGAAAGTTGTTGATTCTGCACAAGTGGGCACTATTCTAGCCCACCATCCCCTACACATACTCTCATGGAACAGCTGTACTAGCCCCTTATGATCTGCTTGAGGCCCTCCTGCAGGAGCTCATGGGCTATTGTTGATGTTCACATTGTTGGTGGCTCATCAGGAACAGAGTGGATTTTTTCTCTCATGCTTTTTAATCTGTGTAGTTGGCCGTTAGCAGAACCTAATCGGAGTTCAGTCTGGGAAAGGTAGTTTCAGGCTTCTAGCAATGTTTCAGAGAAGTGTTTCAAAGAAGGGTAAGTGTTGGCTGAATGCCAGTGGACGGTCTGCCACCTGACGTGTTATTTATAATTCACTCTACAAGATCCAGCCATTTCAACTTGCTTGTCAGTAAGGTCTTTTAACTATACATTGGCAAAAGGTTAAGAATGTTTCTGTATGATCCGTGAAAAGTGTTGTAGATTTGTTGATGGTATATACTCTGTTTTAAAAATACAGCTTTGGTCATATTTTTCCCCCTTTTGGTGGTAAATGCAGCTGAAATTCTAAATCCAGCTACAAAATTGCAGCTAGCAGGCACTTAACCTTGTGCTATGTATTGGGCAAGAACGTTCAATGATTTTGTTTTTTCTAGGACACGTAGATCCATTCTAAACCTAAATGGTACTTCTGTAAATGCTGTTTGTCCACACGTTTTTATAGTAAACTAATTCGATTTAATTGAACGTAATATGTATATTATATATAAACATATACGTGAAAGTATTCTTTATTAAGAAAATAAGGGAGTGCCAGATATGATGGTATATTGTGTTTAACTTTCCCCCCCTCTCTTACATAAAACAAGGGAAACCTGCAGAAACACTGGAAAATAGGGACAGTTGCTACCTCTATACCAGAAATGTTAAGGAATTTCTCTTAGATGTAAGACAAATCAAATCAAACACAGGAAGTGGAGAGTCTTTATTCCCAGGCCCAAGAAAGCTGGATGGTTTTAGCAGAAATGTAGAACTCTTGTTGACATTCTTTAATTTGAATGTGCGAGAGGGGGCCCTGGGTGGCTCATTTAAGTATCTGACTTCAACTCAGATTTGTGGGTTTGAGTCCAGCATTGGGCTCTCTGCTGACATCTCGGAGCCTGGAGCTAACTTCAGATAAACATTAAAAAAAAAATTTTTTTTAATGTTCAAGGACTCAAAGGCTATAATCAAGTTATAGTCCTTTTCAACTAACATCCAAATTTCACGGTTATCGAGCTTAGAAAATAGAACTGTACAGAAGGACCCAAGAGTAGGTTCCTTCTTGCAGTTCCCTCTGAGTAGCACCACTGTGAATACAGCTGGACAGGTTGCAGTGACCCCGCCCATCTTCTTGCACTAAACTGGTAACCTTAAATTTACAATATTTCTCTAGCTTTTATGATGAATTCAATGTAGTCATACCTTACATAAGGGTTAGATTCCAAAGTTAGTAAGGCAGGAATAGCATTTAACTAAATTTACTCTTGAAAAACCGCAACGAAGTCATAATCATAGTGGAAACAGCCCCATCAATTCTCAGTAAGACAAGTAGTCACTTTTTTAATCCAGTGGCTGATTTTTCAGTTGATTGACTGCTGAGGTAGTAGACTTGTATGTAGGGACTCAGTTTTTAAATACTAAGTTGATAAACAGAACATTGATATGCTTAAACTCTGAAAGAGGCCCAGGATTGAGATCATCATGGGAACGGCAGGTTTGCCTCACACACCTCACACTTGAGCTCTCTGGGGCATATTCTTGAATGGAATGACTGGCAGAATCACCACTAATACTATTTAGAGTCTCTATCTCTGATGGCATAGTTGAATTTTGTGTACATCAAGTGAGGTGATGTCTTAGACTGGAAATCTAAATAGATGCATGAAACTATAGCATAAAAGGAAGATAGAACACTTGAAGCAGAAAGGAGCATACATATAAAGGAAGCCCCACAGAAAAAGTATATTTGATAGCAGTTTTAATCTCAAAATCCTCTAAGACTAAAAATGAGAAGATGTAGTAACAGATGAAGATGCCAGTCAAGATGAGGGAAATACTGACGATATATAAGGTGAACAGAGCTGATTATAAAGCATGTGTGAATGTAATTTTGAAAAATAAATGCAAAATTCATGTCATTTTGGGCATAAACAACTTGCTGTACAAGAACAGTAGCCTTGACATTTATGGATATAACATTCCTGCTTTTTTTTTTTTTTAAATGTTTTATTTATTTATTTCTAGGAGAGAGAGAGACAGCATGAGCAGGGGAGGGTCAGAGAGAGAGGGAGTCACAGACTCTGAAACAGGCTCCAGGCTCTGAGCTGGCAGTCAGCACAGAGCCCGACGCGGGGCTCGAACCCACGAACCGCGAGATCATGACCTGAGCGAAAGTCGGACGCTTAACCGACTAAGCCACCCGGGCGCCCCAATAACATTCCTGCTTTTTGACATTTGTAAATAATCTGGAGGAATCAAGATATGCAAAGGTGTATGATTTTGCCTAGCTGGTATGCAGAAAAGGGTCTTTTAGCTGGAAGATGTACCTTGCCGTTGCCCAGCATCACCTATTAGGGCAACTTGTTTTTCTTGATTCATTCTTTCTTCTCAGTATTTACCACAAAGTCATAAACATTGCTTCCCCTTAAAATATGGCTCTTGGAAAGAAAGTAGGCAGTATCAAGACTGGTGTTAAAAATGAATAGGCTTAGGTGGAGGCCTCTTGGCTCTGCCACCACTTCGTGCCCCAGGTGGGGAGACCACATGCCCTTGGAAGGGGGAATGAAGAGAAGTTGAGAAGAGGAGAAAGAATGGAAAGAGACAGTACCTTTTTCAACTTGACAAATAGTTTCTGTTGACCGTGAAGAGGTGACAAAGACACCCCACTTCCTCCAGAGTCTGCAGATGGGATCTTGGGAAAACTGACAAAAGTCAGGACAAGAGAAATGTCCCTTCTTAAATGCCTCATACCATATACAGACCTATTTTAGATGGATATCTACTCCCATCTTTACCACCACCTCCTGAAATGAGAGACAACTGAAAGGACTGACCTCTTCCCAGGACTGAGGCTGGTTTAGTGAGTTACTTATCTATAAAGATGGAGGGGCCCTGAAAAAACTGAACAAATAGGCCCTGCTGTTTTCCTCTATTTACCACTCTCACGTCATACTCCTTTTGTCTTATTGTGTTTTTTCTCTGTACTTTTGATCAAACCTAGTATAAAAATCAGGTTTAACTGTTTCTTTAGTCTCCCGTATCACATAAAATTTATATTAAATTCTTTATGCTTAAAAAGAAACGTGAATAGGCTTAGGGGTTCTTGGCTGGCTCAGTCTGAAGAGCATGCAACTTTTTTTTAATGTTTATTTGTGAGAGACAGAGTATGAGCAGAGGAGGGACAGAGAGAGAGGAAGAGACAGTAATCAGAAGCAGGCTCCAGGCTCTGAGCTTGTCAGCACAGAGCCTGTTGCCAGGTTCGAACCCATGAAGTGGGAGATCATGACCTGAGCTGAAGTTGGACACTTAACCAACTGAGTCATGCAGGTGCCCCAGGCATGTAACTCTTGATCCTAGGGTCATGAGTTCAAGCCCCATATTGGTTGTACAGATTACATTAAAAAAAAAAAAATGAATAGGCTTAAAATATTTACAGTCATTTATTTTACATGTAAAATGTGTTTTACAGAAAAACACATTTTTGATAAAGGATGGGATCTTTGACATGAGCAGTGTTTGTCATTAAATATGGGGGGAAATTAGGGAATAATATACACTGATATGAAGGTCGATAAAAATGATGTTTCTCTTTAAAATTACCAAGGTCAGGGGTCCTGGCTGGCTCAGTTGGTGGATCATGCAACTCTTGATCTTGGGGTTGGCAGCTCAAGCCCCACATTAGGTGTAGAGATTACTTAAGAAAAGTACAATCTTTTAAAAAACAAATAAGGAGCACCTGGGTGGCTCAGTCCGTTAAGCGTAGGACGTCGGCTCAAGTCATGATCTCACGGTTCGTGGATTCGAGCCCTGCGTCGGGCACTGTGCTGACAGCTAGCTCAGAGCCTGGAGCCCGTTTCAGATTCTGTATCTCCCTCTCTGACCACCCTCCCCTGTTCGTGCTTTCTCTCTCTCAGAAATAAATAAAAAACATTAAAAAATTTTTTAAACAAATAAAAGGGAAAATCTGCTGGTAAATAAGCTACTGTTCATTTCTATTCTAGAATCTCAGAGCTTCCAATTATACATGAATTTGAATTATAGGAGTTCAGAAAGCTCTTGTATTTTAACAGTATTAAGATGGTTCTCTAAATATAGGCAAAGAGCTGATGAGTTCCTTGGAAGGTGACTAACTATAAATGTATTATACATGACTGGAAAGTAATGGCAAGCAAGACTTCAGAGCTGAGTTATCTTGATATTTTTATCCAGTGTGTGGGGTGTACACATGCATCACAGCTATAATAGAGCTATCACATGGATCATTTGAAAAACAAGACAGAGATGTTTTAAAAGCTTCTGTGCTTGATTTCTTAGTCAGATGCTGCATTATTTGGTATTCGACAAAGTCAGGGTCCAGATATTAAAAGGTGAATTATTTTAAATAGGTGAATTTTAATAGAGAAGTAATTTATTTTAAATTATTTCAGGAAATGGAAGATAAAGTGACTAGTCCAGAGAAAGCTGAAGAAGCAAAATTAAAAGCAAGGTATCCTCATTTGGGACAAAAACCTGGAGGTTCAGATTTCTTAAGGAAACGATTGCAGAAAGGGGTAAGTTCTTATATGTAATCTTCAAATGCTTAAATCCTGTGAACTCACTGTGCTGGTTGCTGTTATGAAATGGGTGTCTGTGTGTATATAACTCTACCTTATCAGGTACAAATATATACATAGATATATATCATTTTTTCTAATATTTTATATTGTTTACTGTATAAATCTGTGTGATAAGAATGTACATCTCTACATCTCATTACTTTTAACTATAAACTATTTCAAGCATGTAGAAAGTGCAGATAATAGAGCAGAACCCATGTACTCACCACTCAGACTTAATATATTTTGTCGTATTTACTTCAGTTTTATCTTGGTAAGAAAGAAAATGTAGATATAGTTGAAACCTACCACATGTATGTATATATCCCCTGCCCCCTTCTTTCCTTCACCCCACCCACCCTTCTTTCCAAAAGCAGGAACTATCCAGAAGCTGACATTTATCCTTCTGCCAATATTTTTTAACTTTTACTTGTTTTAAAGATGATTTCCATGCAAAGGCTAAAGATAATTTTTATTTAGATGAAATGATCACTTGTAAAAAGGCAGAGCTTATTATCTCCTTTACATAATACATTTTACAGAGTTACTCTAATACAACTTAAACATGGTAATTTTAGTAGTTGAGGTTACTGAAAATATTTTTTCAAAATCTTACTCATTCTTCGTGAGGTAGAAACCATTATTGCTCAATAATGAAATTTTAATTGAGATGCTGCTACATGCTCATTCCTTAGGTTTTCTTTCTAACCCATTTGTAAAAAAAAATTAAAGGACTCCATCTTCGGTTTAACTACATTTAAATTATTTACCATATAGGGAGCAGAGGGAAAAAAGAATTAATAGTATCAGGTGCCAAATCATGTTTTTCCTAAAATAAATACCTTGAATATACTCGTATCTGCTGCATGCTGAGTAAAAAAACATGTCCGTATGTGTATGTATGTGTATGTATGTTTACATGTGTAGGTATTGGCAATAGTTATATATGGATTATTTTCTCAAATCAAATTGCAAAAGGATATTTTTTCCCAGCTTTATTGAGATACTATTGACATACAACATTGTGTAAGTTTAAGGTGTGCAATGTGATGATTTGATAAATATATATATTGTAAAATGCTTACCAGTAAGGTTAGTTAACACATCCCTTACCACACATAATTACTGTTTTGTTGTTGTTAATGGTGAGAACATTAAAGCTGTACTTTCCGGGCCACTTTCAAGTATACAATTCAGTATTGTTAACTTATTGTACATTAGATACCTGGAACTTCTTATTCATCTTTATAATTGGAAAGATTGTGCCCTCTGACCAGTATCTCCCCATTTCCCTCACCCTTCAGCCTCTGCAACCATCATTCTGCTGTTTTGGGAATTTAATGTTTTTAGATTCCACATGTAAGTCAAACCATAGATTGTTTGTCCTTTTACCAAAAGTATTTTCACAGGGTTACCCGGCTGGCTCAGGTCGGTAGAATGTATGACTCTTTATCTCCAGGTTGTGAATTCAAGCCCTATGTTAGACATAGAGATTACCTATAAGAGAAAAAATAAAGCTCACCTAATAAAATTCTTACAGAATTAAAATAAATAAATGAAAACATAGTTTTAAAAGTGACAAAATATGGAATTTTCTTTGTCTTATAAAAGAATAAAGTTCACAGCTTTGTAATAATAGGATGGCAAGAAGGAATTATACCAAATATATAAAAATATAAATCCTCTGTTCCATGAGAAGTAATTCAGTGGGGAAATTCTTACAAAAGTGATAATTAATACCTGTAGTACATAAAAAAACATTCACGTTCCCCTACGTAATACATTTTATCAGAAGAACTATTAGAAACAGAAAAATGTTTATCCATGATAGAAATCAGTGAAATGTAAATTATATCATTTCATAGTACACAAATGCGTAAATTAGAAGAATATTTATAATAATAACCACTGGCGAGGTTGAAGTTGAATATAGTTAATATTCTCTTTGTGGGTAGCATTTAGTATTATTGTGGAAAGGGATATGGATCAAGATTTATATAAGTGTTCATATTCTTTGAATAACCCCTTGCAAATTAATCTAAGAGTATAATTCAATATGAGGAAAAAGTCTGGAAGTTTGAAGATACTATTTATTTGTAGCTTTATAATTAGAAGCAGCATCACTCTTCAGCAGCAGAGGAATACATTGTAACAAGTCAACAAAATAGAATATTTTGTGGTTATTTGCAAGCATTATTATGAAGACCATAATGTAGGGGATAAATAGAAAAAGCAGAATGAGATACATACTCCTTGCAAATACAGCTATGTAGAATGTAGTTGTATCAAATCTAATTTTGAAATGGTGCCATCAGGTATGATTTTTATATATGAAATTATATAATCATCTTTGACTATGAAATTATTATTTGGATTTCATTGACTATTAAGTGTTTAGGAAACTTTTTCTTTATTAATCTTGAGCGTAATTTATGTATTTTCAAGTCAAAATTTATAAATCTTTTATCTGTAAGTGGTTGTGAAAGAGAACATACTGCCTGAATCAAGAAATAGAATTTGAGAAGAGAACTCTTGAATGATTTTGCATTATACCAAAATGTCAATGAATAAGCACTTTTATATTGGGGAATGAAGTCTTATATTCAACTATATCATTTCTTACTATTTTAAAAGAGTTTTGAATTTTTTAGGTGTCAGGGTCTTAGGTTTTAGTTTTCCTTCGTCACAATAGCAAGCTGGCCTGTTACCTTAGTATTTTTTTTTTTTAATTACCTTAGTATCTGTGAACAGTTTCTTCTCTGGGAGGATTGATTAGATGCTTATATTTGGTCCCTTTCTGTTATACTGAACTCGTTAATATTTTTATACCTATTTTAGGCTTTTAAGAAGGTGACTTGAACAGTGTGGCACAGACTGTTAAAGCTGGGAGGGATATCAAGAAGTCTGGCCCATGTTTTTTTATATTTATGGAGTTTGTGAAGCCCCAGAAAAAGTGAGGATCCAGTTTTAAGTAAAATGGCCTTAAAATTAGTTAATTTGTCACTTTAGGTGATTACTTAGTGTCACTGCAGTTATAAATACTGATGTAAATGTGACCCCTAAATAAGCGGGGGGGAGGTGTTATATAAGATTGTCACCTGACGACCCAGAGTATATTTTGTTAAATTTTTTAAATGTTTATTTGTTTTTGAGAGAGAATGACACAGAGAAAGAGCAGGAGAGAGGCAGAGAGAGAAAGAAAGGGAGACACAGAATCCGAAACAGAATCCAGGCTCTGAGCTGTCAACACAGCCCCAATGCAGGGCTCAAATCCATGAACTGTGAGATCATGATCTGAGCCAAAGTTGGACGCTTATCCAACTGAGCCACTAAGGCTCCCCCCCATGTTTTGTTAATTTTTAAAGATTTTTACTTAAAATGCAAAACTTAAAATTGTTGAAGACAACTCATAGCCTTGTTAGACATTTTTCCTAAAGTGAGAAACACTGATTTAGTTCACTCCTATCTCTGGAGCAGTTAAAATTGTTAAGCACTGATTTTAGTTTTGTCTTTAGCCATATTAAAGACATTTAATTCCTTTTCCCCCAAGCAGAGTAGCCTAACAATTAAGTGAGAACCCCTTGTGATGAACTTGTGCTTACTATAAAAGAGGATCATTAGAAACTGACTTTACTACAATGGGGGAAATCTGCCTAAAATATATATTGTGTGTTAAATTTCTCATTTTGTGCTTTTGACTGAGTAAAGAATTTGGCAGTCTGCTTTGTTCTCCTGTAGAATTTCAGAAGGAGTTCTCTAATATGATGCAGAAGCTCTAATGTGATTCAGAAATTCTGAGATTTTTTTTCACCACACATTTTTTTAATGTTTATTTTTGAGAGAGATTCTGCTCACGCTAGTGGGCAGGGGCAGAGAGAGGGAGACAGAATCTGAAGCAGGCTCTGTGCTCTCAGCACAAAGGCCAGCATGGGTGGGGCTCAAACCCAAGAACTCTGAGATCATGACCTAAGCTGAAGTCACACTCACAACTGAGCCAGTTAGGTGCCCCCACAATACTCATTTTAAAATATGCAGAAATAAAGCTGCACCAAGCGTTAGAAGGGCCTGGTCCCAGTTTCCTTGTTAACTGCTCAGTGTGTTCTGTGTAGAGTGACAACATGAAAAGCAGTTTCTAGCTTGAGACCCTTTGGCTTTAGGCCTGAGCTGTCTTATCAAAGAGTAGTTCCTTGAGGGAGGCAGCCACTGAGACCTTGTCCTAGGCCACTCAGCAATCTTAGACCAAGCTGTGAATTCCCAGCTACTTCATTCACCATGTGAGATTTCCCTGAAATCTCAAAGAGAATTTTTCCCCCTTTCCTTTCTGCTTTTGTCAGTGAGGTGCTTGCATACTCTAAAAAGGTTAAAATCCTCCCCTTTGAACACCCATAGCACCTTGTGTACTTAAAATAGTATAATGATTGGAATACTCGACTGTTGTTCATCTTTATATCTCCAATAGTCACACATTGCCTTATGTATAGTAAGCAGTCCGTAAAGGTAGGTTAAACATGATAGGTAGAAGTTGGAAACCAGGGTATCTTTGTTACCTTATTCGTCCTTCTACCTTAAAAGGAATGGCAGTTGTACTTCTTTAGCGTCTTAAGTGAAAAATGGAAGTGTAGGATAGAGTTCTGCGTTTTTTAAAATATTTTATTTATTTCTGAGAGAGAGAGACCGTGAGCAGGGAGGGTCAGAGAGAGAGGAAGACACAAAATCTGAAACAGGCTCCAGGCTCTGAGCTAGAAGTCAGCACAGAGCCTGATGTGAGGCTCGAACCCACGAACCATGAGATCATGACCTGAGACAAAGCCGGACACTTACCCGACTAAGCCACCCAGGCGCCCCGGGATCTGCACTTTAAGTGATAATTAATTTCTAATGAGTTTATTTCTTGTTACCCTAGCATTTATATTTTAACCTTAAATTTGATTTTAGTGAACTACCTTCATTCAAAAAAAAGATTTTATTTTTATTTATGTATATAATTTTTAAGTGGGTTCCGTGCGCAGTGTGGAGCCCAACTCAGGACTTGAACTCAGAACCTTGAGGTCAAGAACTGAGCTGAGACCAGGAGTTGGATACTTAACTGACTGAGCCACCCTAGTCTCCCTCAAGTAAATGATTTTAAATCCTTACATAAATGTTCATTCTTGGTAACAGGAGCTATAAATAATGTTTTAATAATTGAAAGTGTGTGGCACATCCTAAATGCAAGATGGTGAATTGTTTTTATTGTCAAAATAATTCAAGCAAGAATTTCTGGTTTTTCTGTTAGTAAATGAAAGCTTTGCTATTTAATCTATGTTAATGTTTTTGTTTGAATTTTTTTAGATTATTTTATTTTATGCTGACAGGTTAGGTTACATCTCCATCTTAAATTCATTGATTGCATATGAAAGTTGTAAATTCCAGCCTGATTTTTTTTTTTCTTGTAGCAAAAATATTTTGATTCTGGGGATTACAACATGGCTAAAGCAAAAATGAAGAACAAGCAGCTTCCTACTGCAGCTCCGGATAAGACAGAGGTCACTGGTGACCACATTCCCACTCCACAGGACCTTCCTCAACGGAAACCATCCCTTGTTGCCAGCAAGCTGGCTGGCTGATTAAAAGAGCTGAACTGCATGAATCTTCCAATTCCCATTATTTCTCCTTAATATGTTACTTTCTCTGCTTTTTGTTTCCTTTCATTCACTAAGTCATTTGAGAATGACAGCTTTGCAGGTAGCGGTAGTGTGTGCTGCTGTTGTAAGGGAATATACATGTGTAGAGTTTTTGATTAGTTTAACAGTGCACTGATAAAGAGAACATGTTAGAGCAACATAAAGTAATCTACTTGAAAATAATTGTATATAGTACCTAACTACTAGTGTAGGACTGGTTCAACAAGTAACAAGCAAGTTTTACAATTGTAATGTTTTGGCTGTCTTTAACTCATCTTAAATAGCTTTGTATGTTACTCTTATTTAATATAACCTCTATTGTATTGATTTCTTCTGTATTTTCCTTTTGGGTTTTGTAAAAACAGAAGTTTAAGACCACAAGTTGGAAGAAAGGTCACGTTCTTCAAACAAAAATAGATGGGGCTCTGAAAGATTTGTATCTCTGTGCTTGAACTTGAATGGCCTTAAACCTGTTTCAGCTTTAACAATAGAATTTTACTTGGGCAATATTTGCCCATTCTGGTGTAACTTATGTGACTCTAGTGCTTAACAGCTGCCATTGAAGCTAGTATTCTTACTCAGTTCTGTAGTGTTAGAATATCTTTTGTTGAAGATGTGAATGAAGTGTGCATGTGCATTGACTGTTGAATTCACTTTTGTGCCATTTTTGTAAATACAGTAGTTTTGCACAACCTCTCACAAATGTCTGTATTAATTTCACATATTAAAAAGCAGATGATGTGCCAACCAGAAGCACAAGAGTTCCTACACAAAACTCTGTATGTCATTAGAGCTTTTGTATAGTAAGTAGTTTACAGTCTTGGGCTTATAGAATACTAAACTGAACTCTTTGTTTTGTCTGTCATAGACTTAAGCTTTATCATTTGTTATTAATATCCATGACATTCAGTGGCCTTGTGCAGATACGATATGTTGCTTAGGCATATCTTTTGTCCTATGCAGAACATTTCATTTTGACTTTTATGAAAATTGCAATTCATGTAATTTATATAAACTTTTTTAATGTAGAAACTTTTTACTTCCACAGTCAATTTAGGGGACACTAGAATAAAAGGCTTCAATACTCTGCCTCCTGTGGCCCCTCCCTCCTTTTTTTCTTGCTGCTTTGACTCAAATCTTGTTCAGCCATGCTGTTCAGTCTATTCAGAAGCATAAGTGTCTATCCTCACTCTTGGGATTCACGTTGCTGAATGCTATATTTTATAATAGAATGATGTTTTTCTTATAATTTCTCAGTTATTAATTAACCACTCTTAATCCTGTATTATTACTCATATTTGACACTTGTTTAAATAAAAGGAACTTTATACTAAAACATTTACATGAGAAGACTGGCCCAGGAATCCATGTCAGGATGAGCTAAATTCTGGTAAATAAAGATAAGTAATTCTAACGAGCTAAGTGAATTAGGCTCATGACATTTAGAGTCATTTACGTGATAGGTGGAACATATTAATATTAAAATATTTAGATATTTTACTTCTGTAGGTGTCATTTTAATAAAAATACCAATTTAGTTTTACTTGTGGTTTATCTAGATAGTAAGAATTTAAGTAACATTTTATTGGGATACATTTACTGCTCTATTAGGAGTTCTTCCCATAGGTGTTATAATGCTGTAGCATGACAATGAAGATCAGTAGCCTGAGATGATAGTATTTTTTTCCTTGTCTTTGACTTGCACAGGGCACTCCTCTTATGGGATCCAGGCATCTTTTCTAGATCTTGGCTCCATCTGTATACTTGCTTTCCTATGACCCCAAATCATTATAAATGGTGCCTTGAACATAGCACCTGCACTTAAAGGCTGCCTCGCACTGTGTAAGGCTTGCTGATTATCTTCCTCCTCCACCTACCCCAAAAGGCAGAAAAGCAATGAAATCAGTAATGTTTTAGTTTGTAATTTTAAGGGTCGGTCACATGTAAATATATTTGTTATGGGAGCAAGTAGGTTATTCAACAATATATAATCATTGTAGGATCCATTTAAGAATTATGAAATACCCTAGTGTAGAATTTTTGATTTCTGTAATACATAGCCTTTCTTTTTTTTGGTGAATATTTGCAAGCTGTCACCATTAAATTTACATCAGAGATGTTTAATCTGAAATATCACGGAGACCATGTCATTCTTGACCATGATAGGACTCTAGGACGCTGTAGTTTACCACAAGTGATACAACCTTTGCCTAAGTTTTATTTTGTGAAATACAATGCTAGTATTTAACCTACCTCAAAACTTGTTGAGGATCTGTGAAATACTGAATAAGTGCCCAAAAGAAATACTGTTGATTGTCTTTTTATTAAAAGTAAGTTTCCTCGTTAAACCAACCTGCCTTCTGTAAAGTCACAGTGCTTGAAGTCTCAGGATTTTCCATCAGGAAAAGACCTGTCAATAAGACTTTGTAGGTATAATTGCTTAGCCTCCATTATTGGTGCTTGGGATATATAGGCTTTTAATTTTTCTATTTTTTTGTTCTGCCTCAAATCTCAGTTTATTGAAGATACATTTGCAGACTCTGACCACTGCTTGAATGAAGATGTTGACTAGATGAGCTTAATCCTCCATTTCGATTTCAGAGTTGTGGTTTGAAAAATGGCTAATTTTAATTGTCCTGTTTAATACAAATGACTGTTGAAGTGAAGTTCAAGGTAACATATACTTCATGAAAATTGGCTAAAGCCTGAAATAAATTACCTGTTTCATGTCCAGTAGCTCTTACTTTGATAGTACTCTTTGAAGAACATTTCGTTTTTGAAGGCTACTTCTGACTAACACAATTAAAGTTCTTGGCATGTTGGGATAGTAAGGATTGTTGGATTGTTTTGATGAACTGGCAACAACATGTTTGCAGTCTATTTACAAGTTATTCAATACTCCTGTGCTGCTGACCTAAAAATAAGTCTTTAACTATTCATCAAGACAGGCTCTCTTTACTTGTTATTACTTCAAAAGTTGGAATTAGTTGCTCTTTTTACTTGCTGTAATGAAACCATACCTCTAAATATTTATTGATAATTTTTACTAAACCAGACGTGTTCTTTCTCAATTCAAATAAGTGAGCTTTTATCAAAGCTGAAATGTAATCTCTACTTAAATTGTGCTGTAACCTTGGTGTTTGGTGATCCAGGGGCAGGTAGCCTTATAGGCAGAGCACACTCGAGTGGCACCTAAAACAAGTTTCCGTCGGTGGCCTTTTCCCTCCCCTGCTCTCAAGCACATTTCTTCTACTTTCATTTTCCTTTTTCACCTCCTTGTACTTCACCCCACATCCTTGCTTGCTTCTTAAGCCTCCAGATGGCGTTCATTAAATGGTGTTTAGGGCTGATGAAGTATGACCTTGAATATCCTTCCCAAAATGCCATAATTAAGGAAACATTTCAAAATTTCTAAGACACTATCCTAATCTGGATGACTGATTTGAGTGACTATCCCAACTCTGCAACTCAGCATGCACTGCCAGTCCTCCCCTGTATCCTTTTTCCCCAAGTCCCCACCATACCTTATAAAATTGGGATCAAAGAAATCTCATTCCGGGATTGTTATTCTAAGAATTTAAAAACACTGATTTTAATATAACTGTTTTACTAGTTTGGGCCTTTAAAGTAGGTAGGCCTGTGGGTTTTATTCTGCAATCACTGGTGGTCATGAAACCATTAATGTATGTTTGTATTATGTTATCAACCAAATTGCATTTGAAAGAAGACACCTAATTTCATTAACAAGCTCTCAGATCTGTTACTGCATCTCTCATTTGTGATGCAATAGGACACTTTGCCTGTATTAAAAGGGCCAAGAGTAAATGCTTTTTTTGTTGAACATGTCTATAGAGTTGGCAGTTAATGCTGAAATTTGTCAAATAGCCCTTCCAAAATTATACTTGTGAAATATACAAAAAAATAAATTGATCTACTTAATTTCTATTGATACAATTTGCAGTTCTTGTCTTATTTAAATGTTACTGTTTTTCGAAGTATTTTCTGAAGTTGATACCTTTAGATTTCAGCTACTGAACACAAAGAATTTTCTGTTATAGTCTTTAAGTTTTGTTTTAAATAATGTGTGATAATGAGATCCTAGCAATCTGATATTTGTAAAGGCTTTGTGATTAAGGTAATGTTAAATGTTTGCACATTGCAAATCTTCATCTCATGTATGAAACAAAACACTCTTTTACAATACTGTCAGAAATAGAAAAGTGGATTAGACAAGGAGCTTACATTCTGAAGACTTTCATAATATTTAATGCAAGGTAGTAGGTGTTCTGTCCCTTAAGAGAGGTAGAAATAAAGTTCCAGTAAGTCCAGAAGAATGAGTTATTCAATGTAGGGGATAAATGGAATGAGTGGTAGAAGAGGGAATATTGAGAGATGGGTTGCTGTAGGCATAGGCGGGGGGCAAGGGAGATAGAAGAGCATTTTAGGTAGAGGGAATGTTGTTTTCAAATAGGCAAGGACTAAGGAAGATGTGGGATGAATAAGGGACTTTGGTTGGAGAATGTAGCATGTCAAGGAAGGAACTCTTTTTTTTTTTTTTTTTTTAACAAATAGTTTATTGTCAAATTAGTTTCTACATAACACTCAGTGCTCATCCCCAAAGTGCCCTCCTTCATGCCCATCCCCCCTCCCCCCCACATCCATCAGTCCTCAGTTTTTGTCAGCATTCAAGAGTCTCTCATGGTTTGCCTCTCTCCCTTTCCCCCACCATTTCCGCCCTTCTTCTCCCCCTTGGTCCTCCGTCAAGTTCCTCCTAATCCTCCTATATGTGCAAACATATGGTATTTGTCAAGGAAGGAACTCTTGATTTGTCTCTTTAACATTGTTTTTTATTCCCAGCCTGTGGTAAATGATACCAGCATGCATTTATCCACTCGGGTACTCAAATCAACTTGGACTCATACTTGATTCCTTGGAGGCCATGACCAATAGCCACCAAGACAT